CAACACTTAAGAATAGAAGCATAATATAGACAGAGAGATGAAAACTCTAGGGAAAAATCCAAAGGAAATACTAGAAATTAAAAAAAAGAAAGCGTAACAAAAACAAAGAATGCTTTTGATGGGTTCATCCCTAGACTGGGCACAGCCAAGGAAAGAATCAGTCAGCTTAAAGATAGTCCAACAGAACTTACCAAACCAAAATGTAAAAAGAAAAGAATGAAAAAAAAAAAACCAGAATAGAGCATCCAAGAAATGTGGGACAATTTCAAAATATGTAACAAAAGCATAAGTGGAATAACAGAGGAAAAGAGAACGAAACAGAAAAATATTTGACATAAAAATAAGAATTTTCTAAATTAATGACAGACACAAAACCACATATGCAGGGAGCTCAAAAAGCATCAAGCAATTATCCTGAAAAATCCACACCTAGGCATATCATATTCAAACTACAGAACACCAAAGGCAAATTCTTGGAAGAAATCAGAGGAGAAACAATGCTTATCCAAAGAGGGACAAGGATGAGAATCACAGCAGACTTCTCCTCATGTGAGAAAGGAGAGACTGCACTGAAATATTCAGTGCTGGAAAAAAACCTTAGAATTCTATATGACTCAAATTATCCCTCAAAAGTAAAGTAGATACAATGATTTTATCATATAAACAAAAACTGAGGGAATTTGTCACCAGCCAACCTGCCCTGCAAAGTGTTACAAGAATTTCCTTAGGGAGGAACAAGATATAAGTGAAAAACTTGGACCTACATGAAGAAAGGAAGAGAGCTCAATGGTGAAGGACTGGAAACGTTCCCCTTAAGACAGAGAGCGAGAGAAAGACGTGCCCCTCACCACTTCCATACAACATCATGGTGGAAATCCTGGCTACTGTGATAAGACCATGAAAGAAAACAAAAAGTATACATGTTGGGACAGTCAGAGAGGAAGGAAGAAATAAAATTCTTTATCTTCAGATGGTAAGATTTTCTATGCACAAATCTCAGAGAATCAAACAAAAGAACCTCGGAATAAATAATCACTTACAGCAAGGTTACATGATACAAGATTAATACACAAAAGTCAATTGCTTTCCTATGTACCAGCAATGAAAACTGGAGTTTAAAATGAAAGCACAATACTATTTACAACAGCACCAAAATTTTGAAATATTTAGATATAAATCTAACCAAATAGGTACAGGATCTCTGCAGAAAACTACAAAACTTTGACAAAAGAAATTAATATTTAAATACAGTCTATGTTAAAGGAGTGGAAGACTGAGTAGTTACATCAGTTCTTTTCAACTTGACCTATAGATTCAACAGTCCCAATTAAAATTTCAGCAATCTATTTTGTAGATATTAACGAAAGGACAAATTAATATAAACTTTCTAAATATCTAATACTGATTTACTAAGTCCTATGTAAGGTCTATGATGATGAAAACTAGAAAATTATGTGTTCAGCTAAACTGAATTGTAATCCTGACAAATATCTTATAACAACAGAAATTATATTCTCTACTCTGTCAACTTAAATTTAACTTCCAAAATTTTTAGTTCACATTAAGACCCTGGACAACTATTATGCTGAGTTAATTAACAGTAATCTTTGAATATTCAGACATTTCTAAGTACAACAGAATACTGAGCCATTAGTTTCAAGCATGGTGTTAAACCATGTACTTTTCTTTTTGCTTCCTATTTTTATATTTGTGGAGTGGTTTTACCTCTGGGTTATATTAATGAATGTGTTCACATTTGCCATTTTAAGAAGGTGTAAAACAGATAAACAAAACCAAAAGACAACCTACAGCCTGGGAGAAAATATTTTGCAAATAATGCAACTGACAAGAGCTTAATTTCCAAAATATACAAACAGCTCATACAACTCAATAACAAAAAAACAAACAACTCAATCAAAAAATAGGTAGAAGGTCTAAATAGACATTTCTGCAAAAAAGACATACAGATGGCCAACATGAAAAGATGCTCAACATTGCTAATTAGTAGAGAAACACATATCAAAACCGTAGCGAGGTATCAACTCACAGGGTCAGAATGGCCATCATTAAAAAGTCCACTAACAACAAATGCTGGAGAAGGTGTGGAGAAAAGGGAACCCTCCTACGCTCTTGGTGGGAATGTAAATTGGTGCAGCCACTATGAAAAACAGTATGGAGATTCCTTTAAAAACTAAAAATAGAGTTGCCATATGATCCAGCAATCCCACTCCTGGGCATATATGTATAACTGAATCACTTTGCTGTACAACAGAAACTAACACAACCTTGTAAATGAGCTATACTTTAATCTAAAAACTTTTTTAAAAAGCAGGTCTGTAAATTTACTGAATCTTTTTCTTTACAACAAGTACTAAGATATCAGTGATGACAGGGTGGAAGAGGACAAAAAGAAAATGTATTATGTCCACAGTTTGTTTTTTAAATAAATCATTGCCCCCCACCACCAAGAATTTATGAGCAAATACCAAGTAGATCACTGTATGGTTTTCTCAGCTTCAACTTCTAACCAACCCCTGAATTACACAGCTCAGCCCAATAAAAAAGAAAAACAGAGTAAATGATATGGTCTTCGAATATGAATACATTTCTTTTTTTTTATTTTATTATCTTGGAGCAGTACATTGTTCCTTTTCATTATAAAGAAGTGGAATTTCCCTGTGAATACACTTAGTGTATTAAAAATGTTATTAATTTCCTAACTTATTTATTTTGCAATATTCTATCTCTAACACATTCTTCTTATAAACTTAAACTTTTCCTGTTAGCATCTCCTGGAGAAATTTAATTTATCTCGTTTTACATACTAGAGAATCAATACAGCTGGAGTTTTCTCCAGTAAATTCACTCAAGGAAATAAAATTAGCAAAAGATGAGTTATGTAATAGGTAATATTAATCTCTATTAACAAAACTCTTCAGTAATAGACTGTTTTTGTTAACTAGTTTTTCTATTAAGGATGGTTAAAAATTTAGAGTATAGTTCTACATTTATTTCTGAAATTCTTTCTAAATGACGTTATACAGTTCTCTACTTGCTTGAGACAGAGGGCAGTGTGGTGGTTAAAAAAAAAGCTTTGAAGACATAGAAACATAGGTTCAAAACAATGTTTCCCAGTTGTTACTTGTGGGATCCTTGGCAAATCTAAACCTCTTTAAGCCTCTGGTTCCTTACCTGTACTAAAATACAAAAACCTCTCTCGAAAGTGTGGTGGGTTTGGTTTCTTCTGAGGCCTCTCTCCTTGGCTTGCAGATGTGCCTCCCACCACCACCACGGTGTCCTCACCTGGTCTTTGCTCTGTGCATCCACATGCCTGGTGTCTCTTTGTATGTCCAAACTTCTTTTCTTATGAGGACACCACTCGGAATGGATTAAGGCCCACCCATAAGACCTCATCTAACTTTACCTCTTTAAAGGCTCTGTCTCCACATGCAATCACATTCCCAGATACTGGGTGTTAGGCCTTTAAAATATGAATTTTGGGGGGACACAATTCAGCCTGCAACACATTCTAATATACTTCTCATTTTTATCACTTTGGAGCAGTAAATTGTCTCCTTCCATATAAAGAAATTGAATTTCCCCCTGGACACATGGTAAAAATCCAATAATAATTAGCTGTTGTTAAGTACAGTATTATGAACATTATGTAATTGTCCTTTGGTGGCCAGTATGTCATTGTGGCACATGAAGTCATCATTCTGAATATCACTCACCACAGCTATAGTTATTTCTACAGATATTCATAGGAAATACGGCCAAATGCTTAGTCATACTAGGAA